TACTTGGGAGGCAGAGGCAAGAGAATCACTTAAGCCCAAGAGTTTGAGGTTGCTGTGAGCTGTGACGTCACAGTACTCTATTGAGGGTGACATAGTGAGACTCTGTCTCAAAAAAGAAAGAAAAGTGAGAAGAAGCACTGACAACAAGCTCCAACACGGATCCCCTAAAGATCCCCTAAGCCAGCACCCATAGCCAACAGCTGTGAAAGCTACAAAGCTTCTAATGTGAAAGCAGCATATGATCTTGGATCACACCCTAATGTGAGAAAGAAAATTGCATTCTTTTCAAAGTCTGGAGATTAAACAGATTTAATTTAGCTGTAATTAATAAAATTAAGAATAAAGTATGCCAATGATCTTAAAAAGCCTACTCAGTTTGATTTTTGGTTTTAAAACAGAATCTCACTCCATTGCCCTTGGTAGACAGCTGTGACATTTAACTCACAGCAACCTCAAACTTGTGGGCTCAAGGATCGTCTCGCCTCAGCCTCCCAAGTAACTGGGACTACAGGCACCCACGATGATGTGACATTAGTTTTTTCTATTTTTAGTAGAGACGGGGTCTTGGTCTTGCTCAGACTGGTCTCAAACTCCTAAGTTGAAGCCACTCCACCTGCTTTAGCCTCCCAAAGTGCAAAGATTACAGGTGTAAGCCACCACACCTGGCCACCTGCTCAGTATTTGCTTCCTATGTTTATCTGTTTCAACAATTTTTAAGACTGTAGGAAAACATGCTTGTCTAAATTTTCATCAAAATATGCCAAGGTAGCAAGGTCAAGATCAAGAGAACCATACTTAGTAGACAACCAACCTAATGGCTGCTAGTAGGGCACAATAGGGTATAACAAATTTAAAGTGAAAGTAACCTGGTTAGTCCTGAAACAACAAACTGAAAAGCTCCTAACAAATATCATGGGACAAAATGGATTCTAACTATCAACTACACTTTCACTTTCTCTGACTTAGCAGTAATCCATGCATTCACACTTCCACTTTGTTTACTGAGGATGCATGGAATATAGCAGGCTTCTAATCTTCCATCATGCTATTCTGTGCTGACACAGTCTGCAAATAAAAGGATCCAGCATATAAAAACTAGAAGAAGTACATTCTAAGGCAGGCATAGTGGCAAGCACCTCTAGTCCTACCTATCTGGGAGGCTGAGGCAAGAGGATCCTTAAGCCCAGGGATTCGAGTCTAGCCTGGGCAACACAGCACTTTTTTTTTTTTTAATTAAAAGACATAAAGTGTTATTCTATATGCTGTAAAATCCTAATACTTGCAAAGTGAACCATACAGGGTCCAAAGCTACTTCAATCATCAAACTAAAACTGTCAAATGTACTACCCATTCAGAAAATGTAAATCAAGACTCAAGTAAGAAGCAAATGAAACTATAATAAGCACACAAATTACATGTGCAGATTGTATTAACACACTGCTGACCCTTCACATAAAACTGCCAGTCAACGTGTTGTTAGAGGTACTAAGTGATTTTATATTATAAGCAACTGAGAGATAAGAAGAGAAAAAGAATAAAATAGGCTGAATCTGAGACAACTGAGAATTAAGAATGAGAGAAATGAATCAGGGACCAGCTGCTATGTTAACACATTATTGACCAGCAATTTTACACAGATACACAGATACTGTCCATGTTACTGGGTAAATAATGACCAGTTAGAAATGTGTTAAGAATAGTGAGATAATGGCCGGACGTGATGGCTCATGCTTGTAATCCTAGCACTCTTGGGGGCCAAGGCCAGAGGATTGCTTGAGCTCAAGAGTTTGATACCAGGCTCGGTGCCTGTAACTCAGTGGCTAGGGCACCAGCCATATGCACCAGAGCTGGTGGGTTCAAAACCAGCCTAGGTCTGCCAAACAACAATAGTAACTGCAACCAAAAAATAGCCAAGTATTATGGTGGGCACCTGTTGTCCCAGCTACTTGGGAGGCTAAGGCAAGAGAACCGCTTAAGCCCAAGAGTTTGAGGTTGGCAATACAGTGAGACTCTGTCTCAAAAAAAAGTTTGATACCAGCCTGAGCAAAGTGAGAACAGTCTGAGCAAATCGAGACCCCATTGAGACCGAAAACAGAAAAATTAGCCAGGCACGGTGATGTGCACCCGGAGTACCAGCTACTTGGGAGGCTGAAGCAGGAGGACTCCTTGAGCCCAGAAGTTTTGAGGTTGCTGTGAGCCAGGCTAATGCCATGGCACTCTAACCCAGGTGACAGAGTGACTCTATCCCCAAAATAAAATTACAAGGACATATGCACTAGAATATTTATAGCAGCTCAATTTACAACCACTAATATGTAGAATTAACCCAGGGGGCCCATCAGCATATGAATGGATTGATAAACCATGGTATATATATATACCATGGAATACTATTCAGTCATAAAAAAGATGGAGACTTTATAGCTTTTGTATTAAACTGAATAGAGTTGGAGAACATTCTACTTCATAAAGTATCACAAGAATGGGATACTAGGCTTGGCGCCTGTGGCTCAAGTGGCTAAGGCACCAGCCACATACACCTAAGGTGGTGAGTTCGAATCCAACCTGGCTCACCAAAATAACAATGACGGCTGCAACCAAAAAAAATAGCCAGGCATTGTGGCAGGCACCTGTGGTCCCAGCTATTTGGGAGGCTGAGGCAGGAGACTTGCTTGAGCTCAGAAGTTGGAGGTTGCTGTGAGCTGTGATGCCTCCGCACTTTACCCAGGGGGATAGCTTGAGGCTCTGTCTCAAAAAAAAAAAAAAGAATGGGATACTAATGTGAAACCACTAGACACACACATACTCGCACAAAAGGAAAACACAACTGAACTCAAATGGGGAGGAGCGAGAGAGGGGGAAAATAGAGAGAGGAGGAAGACTGGGAAGCTCTCACCTGATGGGCATAATGTAAGGGTATATGGCACACCTCCTGAGGAGCACAACTACAACTTGGACTACACCTAACAAATGCATGTAACCTAACCTTCTATACCCTTATACTAATCTAAAATTTAAAAACAGAAATAAAAAATAAGCAGTGTGATAACAGACATTATTTATAATATACTTTATAAAGTATAACACATATTATAGTGTATCTTATGCTGAAAATAAATTTTCTGACTACATTTTATTCATTTATTAAAAGTTTGATTTTAGGGCTTGGTGCCTGTATCTCAAGCGGCTAAGGCACCAGCCACATACACCAGAGACGGCAGGTTCGAATACAGCCAGGGCCTGCCAAACAACAGTGACAACTATAACAAAAAAAATAGCCAAGCGTTGTGGTGGGCGCCTGTAGTCCCAACTACTTGGGAGGCTGAGGCAAGAGAATCGCTTAAGCCTAGGAGTTGGAGGTTGCTGTGAGCTGTGATGCCACAACACTCTACCCAGGGCAACAGCTTGAGGCTCTGTCTCAAAAAAAAAAGTTTGGTTTTAGGCCAGGTGCTGTGGCTCACACCTATAAATCCTAGTACTCTGGGGGGCCAACATGGGAGGATAGCTTGAGCTTAGTAGTTTGAGACCAGCCTGAGCAAGAGAGAGACCATATCTCTACTAAAAACAGAAAATAACCAGGCCTTGTGGCAGATGCCTGTAATCCCAGCTACTTGAGGGTCTCAGAAAAGAGGATCACTTGAGCCCAGTCTGAGGTTACTGTGAACTAGACTTAACACCACAGCACTGTAGCCTCAATGACAGAGAAACTGTCTGAAAATAAATAAATAAATAAAAAGTTGGCTTATAAAATTCTGATTTGTTTCTAGGAAAAAGCAAATATTAGGGCCAGGCATAGTGCTCATGCCTATAATCCTAACACTGTGGGACGCCAAGGCAGGTAGATCATTTGAGCTCACAAGTTCCAGACTAGCCTGAGCAAGAGCAAGACCACATCTCTAAAAACAGCCAGGCATTGTGGTGGGAGCCTGTACTCCCAGCTACTCAGGAAGCTGAGGCAAAGGATCTCTTGAGCCCAAGAGTTTGAGGTTGCTGTAAACTACAATGCCATGGCACTCTACCCAGGGTGACAAAATGAGATTTTGTCTCAAAAAACAAACAAACAAAAAAATGTTATACTTACTCCTTCTTAAAATTAGGAATAAAAAACATGAAACTTTACTAAGTAACACAGTAAATCAACATCATCTCATCTTCATTATTGAAAGAATTAAAACGAAAGACAACGTGTAACCACAGAAGTGAAAAGACAGAAATGGAGGACAGGAATAGACAGGTAAAGAACAGCTTAGACAAATGCATCTCTGATGCAAGAGGCAGCTAGAGAAAGACACTGACAAATCAGAAAGACCAAGGTGAGGGTAGAGTCACAGGTAAAGGAGAAGTTTAGACTGGGTGGAGCAGAGAGGAGGAACAGATAGGGAACACAGGTATTAAAAAGCAAAGGAGATATTAAAGCATCTTGGGAGTTCTGATGTTAATATACTAAGAAATCAGGACTGTTAGAAGGTACAGAGAATGTTACTGGCTTTCAAAATGCTAGTAATTGCCCAGAGTTTTCACTAGTCCTTGCTTATTCTACAAAATCATTTGTTTGCTGGCTTCTTAGTAATTTCTATATAGAGGCTGGTGAATTTACATACAGAAGCTCTCATATTTTAGAAATTTATTTTGGAAACTTAGTTGCATGGGTCAAATTTTTATATGTGTTAAGTCCTTCTACTTAATACCCCAAATTCTAATTACCTTGTTTCTTTGCTCTCTGAAAAATTCGTAATCTCTTATTCTATAAAGCCTGCAGTTAAACTAGGAACCAGAACTTATTTAAAAATGGTTTGAATAAAAAAGTGAGTCTAGTTTCTCAATCTAACTAAGTCCCAGTATTGAGAAGGCACAGTAAAAACAGTGATAAATAAGTCTAATGCTACTCACTCTTTCCAACTTTCCCTGGCCATCCTCTCAAGGAGTAAGATCCTGCAGCCCACTTATAGGAAAGTCCTGCTCCAAGTTGAAGCACCACAGTGAGAATAATCTGACTTCATACAGCACTTGCCAAAGGCTTCAGAAATTAATCTCCTAGACAAAGCAAGCCAGTAGGTCTTCCACCTAAGATCTTCCAGAAACATGTATATAACTTACCCATATATACAAGACACGTCAATTACAACATCAATCATGTCACAGCAAAGTTCATAAGACTGCATATCCACAGGGGAACTGTCTGTTGCAATGTAGATTTTGCTGACAACATCAAAGAGAAAAGCTTTTTCAATACCTGAATTCTTGGAAAAACAAAATTGAGGAAGTATTCAGTTTTGAAGAATTACAATTTGCATCTTACCAAAAATCTTGAATTACTGAATAACACACAAGGTCATTTTTAACTATACAACCCAATATCAGAAAACAAATAGTACTGGGTTGAAAGACACTTCTATTAACCAAATAATAAAAGTGGAATTATTTCTGTGCTCTGCCAAACATTTTTCTTCTTCCTCTTTACTTAAATGAGTTATTTTCTAAGATATCACAAAAAAATTATCAAAGAAATTCTCCAAAAATCAAGCTATGCTACATTTTTAATAATCCTCTATTACTATTTGATCTTATATAATCAATCTCTGATGTGAACGACCTTCTCCCAGAAAGGCTTTACAGAGCAATTATAAAAACATAAAAGAATTAATCTGACAACAACATCTAGCATAACCTGAAAGACCAAAAGAGTCAAAGTGGGGATCATCACACTTTGTTTTTCCAAAGTAATGTTTGGGAAATATAATGGCTAAATGCTAAATTTATTGGAGGGCTGAATCTTCAAAATAAGAATGTAAAATGAGATACTAAGATTACACAGTTAGCAACAAAAGGAAAAGATCAATTTTTCAATGAGCCCTCTAATAAGGCAGAGATTAAACTAAGTCACATTCCCAAAACCTAGTCTTTTCAAGCTACTACTCTTCAGAAAACAGATATCATGAAGGTGTCAAGAGACAATTTTTATGTTTAAGTCCTTCTTACTTAATACCCAAAATTCTAGGCCAGGGATAATGGCTTACACCTGTAATCCTAGCACACTGAGAGGCCCAGGCTGGTGGATTGCCTAAGCTCACAAGTTTGAGACCAGCCTGAGCCAGAGCAAGACCTTGTCTCTAAAAATAGCCAGGTGTTCTGGCAGGCGCCTATACCAGCTTCTTGGGAGGCTGAAACAAGAGAATCACTTGAGCCCAAGAGTTTGAGCTTGCTGTGAGCTCTGACAGCACAATACTCTACCAACGGTGACAAAGTAAAACTATGTCTCAAAAAAAATAAAAATAATAAAGTACCCCAAATTCTGGTTACCTTGTTTCTTTGCTTTCTGAAAGATTAAGAATCTTGAGAAAGCATAAGAAAATTTTTCATCAGTTCATTTTTTTTTTTTTTTTTTTGCAGTTCTGGCCAGGGCTGGGTTTGAACCCTCCACCTCCTGCATATGGGACCGGCACCCTACACCTTTGAGCCACAAGGCGCTGCCCTCATCAGTTCATTTTAAACACAAAAAGGGTGAGTACTAAGAAAATAACTCAGAAAATAATAGCTCAAGCCATATTTTATTTTCTAATTTATTTTACATGTTAAATATGCCATTAGTCTTTAAGTCTGATTCAGCCATTTTATCAAAAAGTCTTTTGTTTTTGTTTTTTTTTTTTGAGACAGAATCTTACTTGGTCACCCTCAGTAGAATGCGGTGGAGTCGTAGCTCACAGCAACCTCAAACTCTTGGGTTCAAACCATCCTCTTACTTAACTCAGTTTCTCAAGTAGCTGGGACTACAGGTACCTGATGGGATCTCACTCTGACTCAGACTGGTGTTGACATCCTGAGCTCAGGCAATCCACCCACTTCTGCCTCCCAGTGTGCTAGGATTATAGGCATGAGCCATCACACCCGGTTTATGCAGAAGATTTAAAACAAATACATTTAACAAAAATGGAATAAGAAACTAATTGGTAAATTAAAGAAGTCACTTACTGATATAAAGATATTTAATAGGTTTTCCAAGGTTGGCAGTTGTGGAATGAGTTTCTGCACCACCTTACTAAAGGCTTCAAATATTGAATGGTCATAGATACTAGTCAAATAAAAGCTGAAAAACACAATATAGTTTGATTAATTTGAGAAACACCTTAGGTTGACAACTATCATAATACATAAAATTGTAACATTTGATTCCAGTAAAACTCAATTATAGCCTCTTTACCCTGCCTACCATCCCCACCATTCAAGGTGACAAATACAATTGCCCACCGGGCTTGTAACTACACATCTCTTTACTGTATTTAGACTGAGGACAACTGAGGTAGTGCCGCCAAAAGCATTTTCAGATGCAGAAACTTGAATATTCACCTCTTTGTAGTATGATCCAAAAAGCGTGGTTTTTAAGCACATAGCTGAGACAAAAACCAATATTAAAAACCAAAAGAAAGCTAGAAGAAATATATGACATTTATTAAATAAGAATACAATTTAGGACTCAGCGCCCATAGCACAGTGATTAGGGCACCACTGAGGCTGGCAGGTTCGAGCCTGGCCTAGGCCTGTTAAACAAGGACAACTACAAAAAAAACAGCCAGGCATTGTGTCAGGCACCTGTAGTCCTAGGTACTCGGGAGGCTGCAAGAGAATGGCGTAAGGCCAAGAGTTTGAGGTTGTGAGTTTGAGGTTGTTATGAGGTGTGACACCACAGCACACTACCAAGGACAACACAGTGAGACTCTGTCTCGGGTGGGGGGGGGAAGAATATAATTTAGGTTTCTTCTACAATGTCACCTCCTTGTTGGGCACAGTGGCATACGTTTGAAATCTTAGCTACTTGGGAGGCTGAGGCTGGAAGATCACCAGAACCCAGGAGTTAGAGGCTATCTCAAGCTACAACTGCACCTGTGAATAGCCACTACACTCTAGCCCAGGCAACATAGCAAGATCCACCTATAAAAAAAATTTTTTTTTCAGACAGTTACCCAGGCAATAGTGCTGTGGCATCAGTCTAGCTCACAGCAACCTCAAACTCCTGGGTTGAAGTGATCCTCCTGCCTCAGCCTCCCAAGTAGAGGAAACAACCTAAACCTGCCATGATGCTGGTTAATTTTTTCTATTTTTAGTAGAGGCAGGGCCTCATTTTGCTCAGGATGGTCTCAAACTTCTGAGCTCAAGCAATCCTCCTATCTTAGCCTCCTAGAATGTTAAGATTACAGGCATGAGGCAGCCAAAGAAAACTTTTTTAGTGTTGTATCCTCAATTGTTCTTTCCTGACCACCCTACCTAAAATATTATTCCTATACCTGATTCTACTTTTTCCCTAATTTGTTTTTCATCAGTGATAAGTACTTAAGATTATACTATGTGTTTAATTACAGGTGCTTTTCAGCTGTCTCATTAGAGAATCTAAGTCCATGAGGAAAAAGACTTTGTCAGTCTTCCCCAATGTCCTTAGCAGTGCTCATACATATTTAGATTTGGGAGTTTTATTTTTCTTAGAGACACAGTCTTGCTTTTTTGCCCTAGCCAGCAGGCAGGGACATCACTGGAGCTCACTGCAACCTCCAATTCCTGGTTTCAAGCAATCCTCCTGCCTCAGCCTCCAGAGTAGTTGCGACTCTAAGCACATGCCAGTGCATTAGCCAATTTTTCTATTTTTAGTAAAGACAGTATCTTGTTCCTGCTCAGGCTGGTTTCAAACTCCTGAGTTCAAGTGATACTCCCACTTCTGCCCACTTCTCCCAGAATGCTAGGATTACATTAGCTACCCTGCCTGCCATTAAGTATTTATTGACCAAACAAAAGAATGCAACTGGTGTTTACAATTTATACAAAAAGCATATTGGCTCAGTGCCTGTAGCTCAGCAGCTAGGGCACCAGCCACATATACCAGAGCTGACACATTTAAATATAGCCTGGGCCTGCCAAACAATAATGACAACTATAACCAAAAAGTAGCTGGGCATTGTGGCGAGTGCCTTTAGTTCCAGCTACTTGGGAGGCTGAGGCAAGAGAATCACTAAAGCCCAAGAGTTTGAGGTTACTTTAAGCTATGACACCACAGCACTCTACCTAGCGTGATAGCTTGAGACTCTGTCTCCAAAAAAAAAAAATCAAAGAGAATGGGAACAGGGGTCCTATTGATAATGAAACAGGAGTCTGGAGATCTAAAAGGATGTACAGTGGAGAAGTAACATATGTAGATTTACTATAACGTATTTGAGTGAGAGACAGAGAGAACAGAGCAGACCTTTAACAATTTAAACACGGTGGATAATTCTACCTGCTTTTTCACTCAAGGAGTATGCTCTTCATTATATAGTTGTAGCCACAATACATTCACATGTATGTACAACAAAGTCAGACAAAAACTATATATACCACTTTATAGGTAAGTTAAAGATTTTTTTAGGGGGCTTAGAGGGGTATGCAGGCAAATCTATAAATTAAATAATAATAAAAGAAGAAACTTTTAAGGAGCTGACCAAAGAACTCAACCCTGTGCAAGAAAGGGCTCTACTCTAGATGTGAGAGTACTGAAACAAGGCCAAGATGATACCATAGGTACAGTGAGAAAGGAATATTTTGGCTCGGCGCCTATAGCTCAACCGGCTAAGGCGCCAGCCACGTACACCTAAGGTGGCGGGTTCGAATCCCCAGCCCGGACCCGCCAAA